AACCAACGAAACAAAATACTTTATTTTACCAATCGATAGCTTATGGAGTTCACTACAAGACATCTCCCCAAAGTTTTTAAATTCCATCCTTTCTTAATTTTTTGCCATCGATCTACAAATGGTCACTCCAGTGACCACGGGGAGCTAAAGGGTTAACATCAAATCTTTTTTTGTTCAAAGTCAAGTCAACTCAACAATGTTTAATAATTTCGTCGCAAAACAAAATAGGTTGGCACAAATGAATTACTGTTCTGCAGTTTACTACAGACGAACTATCGCACGTTTAAAAATTAAACTTCTTTTTATGTTCTTACCTTTTTTGTTCTATGTTTTGTTCTTACCCCAGCAAAAAATTTTTTTTTGATCTAGCTTAAGCTAGCTGAGGAACAATATAAGCTAGCTCAAGTTAACTAAAAAGGAACATTTACCTAACTTGAGCTAGCTTATTGTTCTTCAGCTAGCTTAAGCTAGATCAAAAAAAACTTTTTTGCTTGGGTTATCTTTTCGGTTCTTTTTCATGGTTCTTTATTCATTGTTTTGGTTGTTTATTCTGGTCATGTGTTTTATTTATGTTTTTGTTCTTTCTCATGTAAATATAATTGTCTATAAATAATAAACTGTTCTCAGTCATATCTATAGTAGGATATACTTTTCAATGCATCTTAACAGATAGTTTTAATTAAAGCAAGAATTAGAGATTCCGTTTGATGAGCAACTAAGAAAGTGTTATGTTGTGTGATATGCTGTACAACTGGAGCACACATTTCGTTTTTCTTTTTAAATTCCATGTTATAAACACAAACTTCCTGGTCGTAATACCATTAAAAACGTTAACGTAATTGAGAAAATTATTTTTTTGGATCGTGCTTAAGCTAGCTAAAAGAAATAATAAGCTAGCTCGTGTTAGGTAAATGATTCTTTTTAGCTAGCTTAAGCCAGATCTCAAGAAAGTCATGCCTAATCGTTCTCTCGCTTTCTAAAAAGCTCTAGTTCGTTTTCTCGACTTGATTCCACCATGTTTTACTCGGACTTTTCTTCAAGGACATAGTGCAGTCAGTTTTTACGCCACAATCTTCTTTCTCAAATTTACTATTCTCTCCACTCTGATTCTCAATTTTAATCCGATATGTGACTTGATTTCAAAATAAAAGTGAGAGAGGCTGATATCATTTGGTTCATTTGTGAGCTTTGCCGATCAGATTACGTTTGTCGCTTATGAAGCATCGAGCATTCACGCCTGAACTTTAAACAAAGGAACATCCTAAAAAAGGCCAGGATAACTCTGTCATTTTTCCTTATAGATAATTTTAATTATTTATAACATGTATATATAATATATATACATGTGACGATTAAAATCGTAACATGATATCCTGCATAGTGAACATATACTGCAGTGCCTGATGTTCTGAAAACTAAAGCAGAAGGTTTGATAGGCGAATGAACCAGTTGATATGATAATATGAATACTATCCCGTAGAAGCACATTATCTTTCTGAAAAAAAGTCAACTCTTCAATTTTCCTCAGGGGTTCTCTAGTTTTTCTTCGTCTCACAAACGAAACAGCACGCACGTGACAAATCCAATTATCTTCTTTGTTTTATTCCCGTACCAGAATCTTTTCAGCAGAAAAAAATGCACGTAATATACGATTCGGAAGTACCTTAGGTAAGAATACTAGACAGGTGCCATGATTTTCCTATCCTAACATTTTAAAGCAATATTCTTTGACGCTTCTACTCAGACACAGAATGTTTTGTATATAGAAAGACAGAATTTTTTGCGCTTCGAAATGAGCTGGCTATAAATAAGCTTCTCAGAAATATGCCCATATAGGATGATTGTCGAAATGCTCGACAGTATCTCGATTTTCATCTGTCTTAAGGCTCTAAAAGAACATTTCTTCCACATATCTACTCAGAACCGGAATGTTTTATATATTAAAAGATTAAAAATTTTCTGTACTTCAAAATGAACTAGAATATTTTGTTTTAAAAGTTTGTCCTCATCGATTTATTGGCTAAATACTGGATGGATATCTCGATTTTTTATATAAAAATATAGTTGTTGTTGATGTATGGTTTTGCTGTTACTAACAATGACTCCACGATTATTCAACATCTGTATATTGTCGCGAAAATTTAATTCTTTTCCGTCCATGTCTGTTACATATCCTCCACTTTCTTATACCACAATCACGCCTGCTGCATGGTCCCGTATATTTTCACGGTAATCAACTTTATTTGGCGACGGAAATCGAAGGTAAAGACCAACTTTGCCACTAGCCACAAGACAATACTTTGTCATTCAATCGAGGCGAATCGACAGTATGCTTATTCCGAGGAGCTGCGCAACCTTATCTTGTTTTGCATGACTACAAGGAGTATTTTCGACGCTTTCAATATACTGCAATTGGATTATCCTGTCTTCATAAATCCAGTTTCGTAAATGTCACATTTATGAAACTTTTTACAAGTTTCATAAATTGTGATTTATGAAGACAGGATATCCCCTGCAAATGACTCCGATCAACATCATTTTAATCAATATGAGATATGTTTGCTGTTCAATATCTTGACGATACGCACCGTGACTTCGTACAGCCCAAAATATTATTCCTTCATCGAGTGCAGGACATGCAATAATACCTATCACTATTTGGCCTCCAAAAACAAGTGCCAGCGCAATTGCATATTGATCACCACGTAGATAACCTTTTGTTCCATCGATCGGATCCAGTGTCCAATAACGATGGGCAATATTTCCACGGCCATAATCAATCCATCTCAACACATTTTCATCACTAATTGTATCTTGGCACTGCTGTTGAACATAATGAGTAATCAATCGACATTGTTCCCTCATCTCATTTACATTTCCCGCGCTTTCTTCCGCAATGATACGATCATCGGATATCATAGCAAGAAGCTCTTGTAAATAGTGCCAATACACACCATGGGAGAATTTATTCGTTGTGGTCTTTGACGTTTCTTTACGCGTTTCCATCTCAAGATCTCTGCTGATTACCGTTTTCCAATCGGCAATTAATGCCAGAGATGATTATTAGACGAGTGAACAGATGCGATCAATTGGAATCAGATCACTCAGACGAATTTTCTGAGCTATTGTTCGAAAAAACTCAAAAAATGCAGCTGATTTCAGTGTTTGTAACGACACAGCTGTATCGGTTTGAATAATACGCGCAGAAACTAAGCCTCTTCAAAACCACACTTTGTTTTTTCCTTGTGCGAAAACGCAAAGCGGTCTACGTGAGAACCGGTGGATATGATTGACCAATACCGATAACTGATTACCTTCTGAATTGATGTGGCAAATCTTCTAGTTTTTCAAACAATCTCCAATGTCTGTCATTTTTGTTTCGCTCCGTTCTATCTTTCGGATTTCTCCTGAATTTCAAGTTCCCTGACTTTCTTTCCTAATGTGTCTCGTCATTTGATATCTCATTCTTAAAATCTGACTGTTCATTGCTCCATAATGTCTGCTCAACACTCATGCCATCTGCTCTGTATGTACGGTCAAAAACCAGATTCCATCAGGGGAAAAACAACTTATTTAACTAAAATCATCTCACAATGATTAAACCGTAGAAGGTGTGACGGTAAAAAAGCTCGGATGAAGGCATGAAAATCGATACATGACTAGTTGTCATCTAGATTACTAGTTGGGAAAAGGGACTTTTAACTAGATCTGGCTACATGTGCAACTAGCAGTACTTAAATCGATCGATTATCGGACGCTAAATCGATAGTTGCAACTGAAGAGAAATCTAGCAATCGCCCAATTACTAGATTTCCACTGTCGTTACGAAATAATTGCAATCGAGTAAAAACCTAGTAATCTAGATAAATCGGGCGATACAAGACTTATTCTAACAGTTGGGTAGTGCCATAGCACCTATTGCGCTGCTGGAAACGAGCAAATGCCTTTTCTCTTATTTATACTCGTATCCAGGCTTATGAATCTTTACTGTGAGAGAGTTGCTGATCTCTCTTTTGAGAGATTAGTAACATCTCATTCGGTGAGTGCTCATGGTTGTTCAGTTGGATGTGTACTGAATGGAATTGTATATCGCCATATTATCTAGATGAAAACTACAAAAAACTCTCATACAGCGAAGACGATTCAGTAGTTTTGGGATCAGTCAGATGAAATCGAAATACCACATCGATGTGCTCGTAACACATACGTTTCACTTATGAATTGATTGTACTATATCTAATAAAATCTAATTTTTCATTAAAGCAGTACATGAGTCAAATCGATCTTTACATAATGGGCAATGGAGATTCGTGTGCCCCTGAAGTTGCTGAATACACTTTTTATCAAATGAATGCCTATATGGGAAAAAGATATGGATTAGTAAAGAATTTATCACATAAAGTACACTTAACAGTTTCTGTGGTAAAGTTTATTGTCGATTGGCCCATTTTTAGGCTTTTTTACCAATTTTTAAATAAAATACGTATGTTCTCTGTCCAATCATTTATCTCGTGTATATTCATGTGTAAAAAGACAAAATATGTAATTTGACCTTTTTTCCTTCTTATCGAGAAATGAATATTTCGATGGATAATAGGAAAACTAGAAAAAGGTATGTGCTAAGAACTGGAAGATTTTAATAACAAAAATAACGATCGTCATAGAATCAATAAAAAGAAATGTCGGTATTTTTAGTCAACAGTAAGAGCACAGAAACAAAAGACTCCTGTTGAAAATATATTTACTGCAGGTAAGTAAAAGAAATTTTGTATATATTTGAATGAGTTTCACCTTACAAAGCATGAAATGATACTACTATTTCATTGTACATCGGGTTTTTTTTACCGTCAGAAACGAGTAAGTGCGATTAACGAATCTGTTTCACGATAATTTGACTCAAAATGAAGGTCAACTATCGGGTTTAACTCGAAAAGAAGAAGACACTTCTCAAGTTGACGCTTTGAGTGAATAATCTGTTGATCTAGAAAGCTAGAAGTCTGAACCAGTTCGATCTGATAAGCTGTTAGACTGATTTTAATTCTGTGAATTTTGAACATGAATCAACATGATATGAAAGACCTCAGTAAGGTTCGGCTAATTCGAAGTTACAGTACCATGTCAGATTTGAATGATAGTCACATAGATCGATAGAGGGCATCGAGCTGCACATGGTGGTGTCCTCAGAATCCAGAAAATCCCTTTCCTTCGCCCTCAAATCGCCAAAATACTGAGACGAACACCGAAATCAAAATAAGTGCTTCTTGTGAGTATTTCGACCTACAACGTTTCGGCTACAACGTGACGGCTCGAGAGTTTAGATTTTATCCTTTCCTGTCAAAATGTATCTTTTTCTTTTTCCACGCGAAGCAATCCTTCAAGTCATTTTCGGCTAAGCCACACATGTTTCGTCCAAAGTGGCTCAAACTCTCAGACTATAGGTAGAAACTGATGCCGAAAACGATGGGAGTGGTTTTGGAGTCTTGGGAGGATTTCTAGAAAACGTGCTAAAGCTCTTCGGGAGCTCTCACGCATGTAACGTCGAAGATTGTAATTGAACTTCACTTGACTAGTCCACTGGTTCGAACTTTATTCTCAAACACAAGAAAATAGTACAAAAACAAGACATAGTGGAAAAGATACGAATATCTGAGTGAGGACCTGAAGTTGCTTGAGAAATACAAGTAAAAACTACCGATCTTCATCATCATCAATCTTGGTGTTGACGATCTTTCGGTGCGATTTAACCTCACTCTTACACAAGTTGCTAAAGAACAGACACAATACTTGCTTGTATACTTCTAATTTAGAGTTCATTCTTTCAAAGATAATTTTTCAAATTTCAAACAATAGATTTTTCCTTTCAATTAGTTTTGTCGATAAATTCATATAACACATCTGATAAACCCTGAGACGCGCACGACAGGAAGAGTGATGTTTTTAGGGACGGCCGAATCTCAGAATCGTTTTTACATAGATCGACAGGCCTGAATGTTAGCTACGTCGCTATATAAAAACTTTTACTCAGTCTTAACAATTTGCTGAAAAAAATACGAAATACAAAAATTTACGCGGGAACCTCCCACGGTTGCAAATCGCTTTCGGGCTAAAACCTAGTGGATCAGAGATAATCAAGGGTACTGATTCCGAACATAACAATCCTTTTGGCCGATAGGTCTTCAGAGACAGGATTTTTGGAAAACCAGTTTTTCAAAACTCCTAAAAAATAACCAAAACTTTTGTTAATGAGGCAGGATTGTAGATTTCTGATTAAAATGAGACCTTTCTGAGCGCTACACGGTGTTTCTTTGCAAAGTTATAGAGTTTGCAAGAAAAGCCCTAAATGTTCATTGTCAGCTCAAAGCTACAGAAATAAGAAGAAATTTATTTTATTTTATGTTTGAAAAAGGGGCTATTGCAAACTGTTTTCAAGCCAGGAGACCATCACCTTTGTGAGAATTACTGCCCCATAACACTGCTGCCTGCTATGTCCAAAGTACTAGAGCGACTTATTCAGAACCACCTCTATGAGTATTTTGCTGATAACAATCTTCTTTCATCTCTCAAGCTCGATTCAGGAAACGACACTCAACTGTATAACAATTAATTGATATTGTTCATCATATAGCATTAGGTTTCGATAGACAGTGCCAAACTAGGGCTGTATTTCTCGATTTATCGAAAGCTTTCGATAAAGTATGGATAACAGGACTGCTCTACAAGTTAACATGTAAACATGTCTCTGGGATGATGCTCGATTGGTTCACTGGTTATCTAAGCGACCGCAGTATTTGTACTTTTATCGAGGGAGCAACATCCGATATTCGGAAAATCAATTGCGGCGTGCCACATGGCAATATTTTGGGCCCACTTCTTTTTTGAATCTACATTGACGATTTTGGGTGCATAGACGGAAAGATCATTGAGCCTGAGTTACGCATTTTTGCTGATGATGCTTTACTCTTTATTACGAATAAAAATATGATGCTGGCGGAGACCAATTGAGCCGAGCTCTAGAAATGATCTCCAAGTGATGTATTGCTTGAAAAACGAAGCTAAATATTGATAAATGTAAAACAATGACTTTCCCTATCCAAAACAATTTAAGCAACAGTTGTTTCAGAAATATGCTCTTACGTATTTTAAATGGCCCACCGCGCAGAGAAGAGTTGAAAACATTTTTGTCCAGTTTGCTACTCATTTTCCGCCTATTAATGCAACACTATTTAAAAGGAACCTTGTTCCTAGCGATTTGTGCACCTGTGGGGAGAAAGAGTTCGCTAGACACTTTCGTCTGGATTGCAGGAACTACCGTGTGCTCAGACAAAAATGTTGTATGAACCGCAGTCTATATTAGGATCAAATCCCACGCTTTCTGACTTGCTGTTGCTACCCAGTCCATCATTAACCGATCGTGAGCAAAAATCCTCATTATATAAAGCCGTCACACATTATATTAGTGAAACAAAACGTTTTCTATAAATGTTTTTTTTCTTCTTTTTATCTTCTTTATCCCTAATTTTTCTTTCTTTCTCCTTCTCTTCTTCTCTTTTTTATTTGTCTTTCCACCCTGCTTTTCCCTGTGTACATCAAATCTTGGTGGAGATTTTTTGATAAGAACAGTTTTTGAGCCCTCGCTCTTACTGCTGGGCTATAATTCTAATCAAAGTATGAATTCTTATCCAAATTAATGTCGGTCACCAAACTAGTACACTTCGATCGTATCGGCAAAAAGTGGGGGGACTTTCGTCGAAGCTCTCACATCGTGAATATTAGTTGCAGTGTATGGTGAATTGGGAACAAATTCATCTGTGTTTGATAATACTGTGTTCTTCAGTGTTATGAGCTGAAAAGAAACGTTTATTTATTTCCTGCTAAAAGACTTTTCATTTTCACCTGTACATCCGTTTCGCTTTTTCTGTGATTCAAATATCTTTTCGGTTAGGACGTTTGAAGATAAGAGAAGTGAGCGAAACTGTAATTGTTCTGTAGTCTATTGAGTTTACGCT